CATCCTAACTCATATCAGAAACAGTGCAGTCATCAGGACTAGGGAGATCTCTCAGGTAAAAGTGATGATAGAATGAGAGAAAATGGCCTCAAATTGTGCCAAAGGAGTTGAGGTTGGATATTAAGAAAAACTTCTTCTCTGAAAAAGGGGCAATGCACCGGCGCAGACTGCCCAGGGTGCGTTCAAGAACACAGAGCTGTGCACTGAGGGACATGGTTAGTGGGCACAGTGGGGGTGGGTTGATGGAGTACATGATTTTAGTGGTCTTTCCCAGCCTTTACGATTCCACAGCTCTAAGATCAGATCGTGACCCTGCTCCCTGACAGTAGCAGAATCGCTTCACCTGAGCCACAGCCACCATGCCGTACCCAGAGCAGGGTCAGGTTCCCAACCCAACGCGGCCCCTTTCCCCCTCACCTGGCTTCTTGGCAGGCGGGGCCGCCGCCTCCTCCTCCTCCTCACTGGAGCTCTCACTGCTGCTCGAGGCAGCCGTCCGCTTTGCCTGAGGCCCGTTAGACACGAGCTTCCTTTTCCTGGCGGCAGGAGACCTGCAGGGAAACAGACGGATGGACGAAGCTCCAGGGAACAGCCCCTAGCAAAAGCCCCCCGCCCCCGGGCAGCACTCACTTCACCCAGTAGCTGAAGATGTCCAGCAGCGAGGCGGCGTTGGGGTCCTGCTCCTTCTGCGGAGACACGAGGACACGCGTTAGCCGCAAGCGCAGGGACACGCTACACATCACGCTCCGCTCCCTCCCCTCGCCCTCCTTTCACCCGCCCCGGCCCCGCTCACCGCCGCCGCCTCCTTGGCGAAGGCGCGCGCGGCGCCCTCGAAGCGGTTCTCGCGCAGGAAGGCGAGCACGAAGGGGAAGAGGTCGCTGGGCACCGCTCGCCGCTCCGCCATGCTGCGCCGCCACGTGCCGCCTGCGCGCACGCGCACCGACGCGATGACGTAACATCGTACGTGTGTGCGGCCGGAAGCCCGCGCGGCGCCTCCGCTGCGGTCTGAGGCGAGGGTACGGCGCCATGTTGGAGGCGGGCGGAAGTGCGCGCGTAGCGCTGGCAGATTGAGGATTTCGGTGCGGTTAAATTCGCTTTGTCCCTTTTCTCCCCCCGATCAGTCCCCTCTAGTCGTAATCGGTTAAAAAGGGAGAGGCGAATGGTAAGGAGCAGGAAGTGCAGGCTGCTCTGTGAGGGAACGTCCTGCCCGTCAGGTGTAGGGCCGCGTGCTGGCGGTAGGGGCGCCCGCAGCGCCGGGAAATGTCGCACGTGAAGCTGATCCAGCATCTTCCTGGGAAGCGTTCAGAACAAAAGGAGATGGGGCTAAAATAAACGTACCACTAGGCTCAAGGGAACTACTTATAAAGGGGAACTAGAGAAGGGCCTAGAAATAGAAATAAGGTTACCTGCAGTAGGTATGTAGAGGTTTGAGGGGTATGTAGGAGGTAAGGTGGAAGATAAGGTTTGAAAAAGATACATGTAATAACAAAACAAGCAAGCCTCTAATGCATATATCGAATGCTGAGACTAGAGCTTAAAGTGAGCTCTGGGACTTTGAGAGTAAAGGGTGTGGGGTGGAAGTCACAGGTGAGGCTGATCAGAACAGCTGTGGCCTGTTACTGTATGGGGGGACCTCTGATAAAACATTTCATTCAGCTGCTGCATAGTGCTGTGGCTTTAAATTAGCTATTTCTATTTTTCAATAAAAGCTTTCTTGTCTGTAAGCCTTGAAGTATTTGCTAATAAATGGAATGTTCTATTTTATTCCTTTTGCTTTGCTCTGGGGACTTTTTTTGTTGTTCTGTTGACACAAAGTCTACTGAGCGTAAGTGGGAGAGAGCTCTTTGCTGAGAGTCCTAAGTTAGGGCTGCTAGCATTGAACAAGTAGGAGTAAGGGAGTAACATTAATGCTCTTGATGGTTCTCCTGGCCTGTTCTTTGTAAGGCTGCTTAGGTACTACTGTGCCTAACTGTATGGGAGTCCTGCCCCTCTCACGTGCTTAGGTGGTGTTCGTTGTATGCAGGAAGGTCTCACTTGTTGCTTTCATTTTCTGGAAGGTCTCATGCTTGTGCTGGGGGGGGAAGAAAGCACCTTATGTAGTGGCAGATACTACTGTAAATTTCTCTAATCTAAGTACTTAGTACTAATGTACTGTTGTGCAGTTAGAGACAAAGGCAATTCTATTTTACTGTTAAATAATTGCGTTTTGTTTTCAGATTCTTATCTGCCCTTATACGTGGGATTGATCAAATGTGAGGTGCAGAAAGGAAGCTATTTCCAGGAACCATTATTTCTCCTGATTTTCATTTATTTGAGACTGTCAAATGCAGCTGCAAGCCCCATCTGCAAAGCTCAGCACAGGTTATGTGCTTTCTTTTACATCAGTAAGGAAGAGGTGCATCTATTGCTGATAAATCCTCTTTATTTGAGGTTCTGCTATCTTAAGTAATTCTGCTGTGATAAGCCAGGGAAATTAATGGCTGTGTTAAGCAACGTGAAGCCAAAAAGCTAAAAATTTGGATAGGTAAGGTGTGGCTAAATTTTCTTCTTTTGGCTTTAAAGAATTTCAAAGCATCTTATGCAGTTAGATCTCTAAAGATTCTGAGATTTTACCGCATAAAAGGGAGGCAAGAGAAAATCTTTCCCATGTTACAGATGTAGAGAGTTACGTGTATTTGTCTGCTTTGAGGATCAGAGCCTGTCCTGTCTCCCTATCAGACAAATCAAATTGCCCTTAACATCAGCAAACTGGTTTTGAGCAACAGCTTTAGCAATTAAACCTGCTACATGATCTGACCTCTGTGGTGAATTTTGTGGGACAGATTTTTGAGTAAGGAAAAGCAAGTGACATATCTTCGTGTCAAGTGCTGCTTTATTCAGTGTCAGAAATGTGCTGGTAGATAAAAAAAGGAATTGTAGAACTGGAAGCAGAAGGTCATTGGGTTATTACCCATAGGGGAACTGGAGGTAGAAACAGAAAACGTGATGAATGCTCTTGAAGTCCACGGGAAAATGGTTCTTACACTGCAAGGTGGGTTAAGTAGTGCTATTCCTGTGAGGAAGGTGCAGATCATGCTGATTTCTAATGAAGAACTGGCTCAGCAAGGCTCAGGTTTTCCTTGAATTAAAGTGGTGAAATTTGTTTTTCTTTGCGTGAGCTGCTGTGCTGGAGCTGCAGTCTTAAATGAGGACCGAGAGCCTGACTTGCAGAGAGACAACCTGGCTCTTCCTCAGTAGGACAGTAAGGCATTTCTTTTACTTTTTCCCAACCCACGACTTCTTTTTCCATGCATTGAAGTGAGACTGACACGTTTTGGTTCCAAGTGTGTGTAAAGCATTCTGTTGTAATTTTTCAGGAGGAGGTTGTTGTGAAGTTTGCTGCAACAGAGCACTGACAATTACTTTGGGGAGGCACATTAATTTTATTTTAGAGGCTAAAAGGATTTCCTGTGTTTTACACTGAATAAATCAAATAGCATCCCAGGTGACACTGATGCAGGCAGAGAAATCCCATGGATTCTCATTAAGCAAGAAGATGATATTGCTAGCTGCTTATATGATGCTGCAAAGCTCTAAAGGGAGAAATAATTTAAAACTTGTTTCAAAGAGCACGTTTAAATCCTGATCTGACACCAGAGATGATTTTGAGATTTTTTTCACTTTTTATTCTGAGATAAAGCAGATTTACAAGAGAAATAGCAGTAACTGCTGAATAATAATTATTAAGTCATATATATACTAATCCATCTATTCTTTCTTATATCTGTTTCTGAATATATGAGTATTATTCCATTATATCAAAAAATTAGAAGAAAATAGCTTCCAACTGGCAGATTTTTGTCCCTTATAAATGTAGATTCTGTAGCTGCAAATTTTTCCAGCACCCAGGTCTTTATTCTATTGTACATACTTGGAATTCAATTGGGGAAGTGCTGACTTCTCTGCATGCCTTCGCTTTCTCCTTAGGCTGTACCTTTGGGATTTTTTTTGTTTGTCCTAATAATTATTGTAGGAGAAAACTGCCAGTTTTTGGAAGGCAAGCCGTAGTATGTAGTTATTTTGCAAGCTTAGAGTAAGTTTTAGGCAAATAAAGGTTTGGAGATTGAATGGATAAGCAGGAAACAGACTCGGTTCGTTGCTGTGTGTCATTAGCTAACTGCTGCGCTCTGCTGTCAGTGCTCGCGGCAGTGAGCTGCATGCACAGTGTGCTTCACGTGAGTGACTTTTTCTTCACTGGGAAACCAGGCTGTAGGGCAGTCGGTGTTTGCTTTACCAAAGTGCAATGATGAAGACTTCACTGGTTCTCAGTAAAGAAATGTATTTCTGAATACATAAATATATACACAATGTGTTGTATGTATTTTTTTTTTCATCCAAGTTTTCAAGGGAATAATCTGAAATAATTATTTAAGCAGAATCTATTGGTTTGTCGTAAGTGACAAACTAAATTGAGCCCTATTTTCTGAGCTCCAGCAGAACCTTTGGAACCTTTCTGCTGCTCTCAGTATGAGCACAGTCATCTGGACGCTGGTGAATCTAAAGGCACCAAGGCGTGTCCTCTCTGATTCTTGTGTCTTCCACCTTTCCTGGCTGACAGCTGTGATTTTAACCACTGTACTCCTTGTCATTACCGTTTCACGTTCACCTGCTCTCTTTCCACTGTATCGGACTCTTCTGTTCCCATCCTTCCAGCCAGTGCTAAGCCCTGCGGAGCCGGAGCAGCTTTAGCTGGAAGGAGGAACAGAGTCAGTTCGAGGGAATCTCAGAGAAGATATAAGTGGTCATCCTAAACGCTCGCTTTTAGGTAGCTCCGCGGCACGTGGGTTTTAAAAGCGCTGAAAAGCGAAAACGAGCAGTGCTAGAGCAGGAAGGAACGGCCGGGGCTCAGCCTGTGCGCTGTTAGTACGAGCGAGGACCTGCCGTCGCGGTAAGCCCGAGGGCGCCGCCGTCGGGGCCGGAGCTGCGCTCGGAGCGGCCCCAAGGGCGGTGCTGGCCGGCGGCGGGGCGGGCGGGGGGCGGGCTGCGGAGCGGGTCTCCGGACTGGTCGAGGAAGTGACCGCGGGACGGACGCCGCGGTGCGCCGCCGCCAGCCCCGGACCATGACGGCCTACGGTAAGTGCCGCGGCCGCTCCGTGGGGAGCGGGGGGAAGCGCCGGGGGTCGGTAGGGGACGGTGCGGGAAGCGCCGGCCGCCGCTGAACGGGGCGGTAGCGGAGCGCGGAGCTGCCCCGGCCGCAGCCCGCCCCGCAGGTAGGGCGGTGCAGCCGGCCGGCGGGAGGGGAAGAGGAAAGGAGAGTGCCTCCCGGAGCGCCGCGCTCGCTCGGAGGCAGCTAACAAAAGGCGATGGTCACAGCGATTTCTACCCCGTCTTGCTCTGCTTGTCTTGTCGCTGGCAGAGCTGTGCTACTGAGGGAGAGTGTTCGGCCGAGTAACCTTGCCCTGCCGCGCACCGGTCGCCTCGGTGGTCCGCCGCGATGTTCTGTAGCAAGGCAGCTCTTCCTAAATACCGCCTTATTCCCCACCATTTGCACGCTCCCTCTTCGGGGTACGATTTTGCTGCCTTTTGCCACATGGCACCGGTCACAAGGTGCGCTGGGTTGCCGTCCGTCTTCGCTGACATGTGCGGACAAAACTGATTAAAGTACACCGGCAAACTCCAGAGGTAGATGAGGTTAACCCGAATTGTGTAAGTTCACTAGTGCCCACTCTGCAAGTTCCCCCTTTGCGGGGAAGTGTGTGCGTCCTCTCTAAAAAAGGGAAAATGTGCCGTTCTCAGAGAGTGAAGTAACGGCTGCGTTTCACTGACGCGTATCTCCTTGTGATGTAAAATCAGCTACACGGGAACCTCTGGAGACTTGTGGGCAAAACTACCTTTCTCCTTAAAGAGGGGTGGTTTCACAAAGACTCCTAAAAGTAGAACGACTGTAAATTCACCTATCATAATGCAAATCTCATGTGAAGGAAAAAAATGTATCTAGTTCGGTTCTGTTTCCACTTGCTTGTTTGCAGCACGTTGAAGTGGAAGATTTCTATTCTGGTCAAAGTGAGAGGTGTCGATAGCCTGTTAATAATTATTGCATGTGATCACTGTTGCTTTGTCATGCATTCCGGCTAGGCGAAGAATGCATTTCCTCATACATGACTTAAATTCGCGCATTGTAGACACCAGATATGAAAGTTACTTCTTTCTGTGGCACACCAGCAGCTTCTAACATCCCTTGGAAGATCTCTCATTTAAGAATTTGATTTTTAAGGCATCTCGGGTGGAGTTTAATTGATATCATAGGGATTTTTTTCATAGGAAATGCATCCTCCTGTATCAAGGAATTGGCTGCTGCTGTTTTCTTTTATCTTCTATACACATATATGCCAAAGCAAATTGATGATAATGTAGATAAGAGACTACGTAGTGCTTCTTCATTTTGTCAGAATTTGAGGCAGGCTTGATCTAGCAGATGAAAATCAACTGACTTGACACAACATTCGGTCTTTTAGGACAGTGGAAAAGATTTGTCTAAGTTTTTTATAGTCTGTGGTTGGTCTATGGACCCTGAGAAGGCATGGACTACGTAGAAGGGGGGTACAAAAAAGCTGTGTACTGTTAGAGATCTTGAATTTGCTTTAGGAGGCAGACAAGTGCAACGGAAAACTATTTTCGGTCTGTGAATCAAAATGGTTAAACATTTTGGCTTGTGAAGTGAAGCAGTGGTTGATTGAACCTATCAGATTCAGAAGTGTGAAGTGTTAAGTGGGCAGATGTGATCTTACCCAGCTCTGATCCGCTGACTTCCTGCAGTAAACTTTAGCCATTTCAGTGCTAATCAGAATCTTCCAGTGCTGCCATGAACTGCTATTTCATGTTTGTTCCAAACTTAAGAGATTGTCACCTCCCTACTCCTGACCATGATCCAAAGAGGATTCATTCTCAAAGAGAGGCTGTGAAAAGCCATCATACAGTCTATCCTTTAGGACGCTTTTATTCTCTTGCCACTGGCTGTCTTAGGTTCTGACTGATAGAATTTATCCCTTTTTATTTCGTGTGCGGTTCAAGAAGCAGGGAAGGCTTTTTATCTTGTTCTTTGTCTATGACACTTAGTTTGTGGGACTTCAGCCTCACTTAGAGATCTTAGGTAATTCTAGAGTGATAGATCATAACCTCATCAGCTTTATATCATTACTGTTGTAATGAAATATACAGCTAAGCATCGAAGAGGGAGTTACAGCTGCAAAGGAGTGCAGAGGTTATATTTTGTCATTGCAAACTGCAGCAGAATTATACTTGGATGATTTTCTATGAAATAAATAATCAAGCATGCCCTGCAGTATTGTTAATATAGCTGACATTTGCTAAGCAAAAATCATTTTCCTACTCTAAACTTAGGAATGCATGAACAAGATATTGCTGATATTCAAACAAGATTGCACTTTGCATGTGAAAGATTTCTGGAACAGTTGACTGACACAAATCTTTCCTTGTCTTGCTAATGCCCATCCTGTTCATAACTTTCTTACTTGAACTGAAAGCTTCCTTATGTTTATTTTTGCAAAGTCAGGCTGTTGAAAGAACTACCAAAGCATATGAGGTCAGGATTGAAAGACATGCTTGGTGTTCACCTAGGTTTTCCTTGTATGTACAATAGGAAGGATTTACATTGTGCTTTGAAGTGTGCTCTGCAAGTTCTTTTTGTAAATGATGTATGAAGAACCTCCTCCACAAATACGTTCTGTATTTCCTGCATTGCACTTTCCCCTGAGGACTAGCAGTAGTTGGTGCTGTGAAGGAAGGTATTTAATCAGATAAAAATACCATAATCTGGGAAAGTGAGTCTTATCATCTGTTATTTACTTACTTACTTAGAAAGAAAGGGGTGTTGTAATTGAAAACACATCTAGGTTTTCCCATCTGCTGACTTAAGCTTACTCAGCTAGCTCTTTGGGACTCACTTCCACTGTTTTTGCGTATGAACTGGAAAATTGCCTTAGCTCTTAGCATGGAGTCAGTAATTTCATTTTACTCTTCTCCTTTTAAAGGCCATTGGTAGTTTATCTGAAGCATGTGCAAAAAGGGTACAGGATGGAGGCAAAAGAGCTTGGGAAGAGCTGGCACAGCTCTGTTGAGGGGAGCGGTGTGCCAGCTAGAGGATCCATGCTTTTCCTAAACTTCCTTGGTGAAGTTTGTTCCTATGTTGCACTTTGCTCTGGGTGGTGATTTCCTGGGATATAAATGCCACCTTGGGAGCTTGCAGAGGGTCTGTCAAGCTGGCATATTTGCTGTTTCTTTTGGGGAAGGAAGGCTTCTCACTGTGCCCCAGTGATCAGTGTTTACAGTTAATGGCTTCCCATCTGCACCCACCCCCAAATGCTGGGTTCTTGCTGGAGTGAAAGCTTTTTTCTTTTTTTTTTTTTTTAATTATTATTTTACTGAATCCACTTTGGAGGATGTTCAATTTTGATTTAATTTTAATAAGATGACTGCAAAAGTGCAGTCTTCAATTTTAGTAAGCTCACTCTTTGCAGATGCTCTTCTTGGCATGCTGAATTTTAAACATTGCCTTCTACTTTAATTAGCAAAATCTGCCTTTGTTTGCTTGCTTCAGAATGGAGGTAGGTTAGAAATGCTGGTGATTTTAAGTTAAACTGCAATTAGAAGATAGTTTGCTCGTAACATTTGAAATATTCAGCATTGAAGTTTGCAATGGGGTCAAAGCCATAATATGCAAATTTGAGTATATTTCTTCATAGAAGAATTAAACTTTGACATCAGCATTTTGGGGGATTTATAGATAAAGCACTGCCTCATGTCATGTTCCTTCAGTCTGCATGTGACCTTCATAGCAAACTGGAAGCAGATTGAGAGGTGCCTTCAGTCCAGAATACAGAAATGCGAGAAGGAGTTGTTAGGAGATGTCCCTAGAGAGATGCTGAATAAGTCAACTGTGAGCTTATTTCAGGCTGTGTTATAGCCACCACTTATTGTACTAGTTCCTTCCTTCTGAGGAGGTGGGTTTTTTTCATGCCAAACAGGTCAGGAAACCTTTTCATGACAGTTTTGGGGCTCCAATGCAAGCTTACAAAGCCTCTGAAACCTGGATGGTAGGACTGTGCTGCATGCCCTGGGGCTGCTGTACCCTTTGGTTGCACACATACTTTGCAGACCGTTTGCTTTCTGCTGCAATGACAGCAAAAGTGTCTAAAACCATGGAAGCTGTCATGACTTCCTGTGAGCACTGAGATCTCATTTAAATGAAGGCCTGTCTTATCTTTGGTGTGCTGTGCTGAGTGTATGCTCCACTTGAGTATGTGATGGTCTACGGTTGTGTCGCAAAATGATTCTGATTCTCACCCACAGGTGGTATCTCATTTTCATGCTATTACTTTTTTCTTTTCTTTTCCCTGTTGGCCTGCTTTATATCTGAAAATTTCCTCATGCGGCTTGTTTCACTTGAAACTACAGGAGAAATTCCCTTCGCCAGAGAAGGTTTTTGAAAACAAAAAAAATGACTTAAATTCCAGTGAAGTCAATTCAGAAGGAATTCAAGCACCCTTAGCATCGCTTGCTTTGGATATCACTATCATGCGTTGAAAGTGCTTTAGAGATACTCAGATGGATTGCAGGGTGACAGTTCTGTTGGTCGCTTTGCTGTAAAACCGTGGATCCGTTCTTGCTGTGTATTTAATCCTCTTCCCCACTATGATCTTGCACTTCTACAGGAACCCATGGGGGATACGATGTGCTGATTCTGTATGCGAGTGACGCTGCTGAGTGGTGTCAGTACCTCCAGAACCTCTTCCTCTCTACTCGGCACATCCGAAAGCATCAGATTCAGAGCTACCAGCTGGAAGGAGAGTCTGCCATCTCTAACCAAGAGCTGGACATTTTCAGCAGAAGTCGGAGCATCGTTATTTTGCTATCTGCTGAGCTGGTGCAGAGCTTTTATTTCCCTCCTGTCCTGCAAAGCCTTCAGGAAGCTTTATGGCCCCCACAGAAAGTAGTCAAGCTGTTCTGCGGTGTTACAGATTGTGATGACTATTTGACCTTTTTCAAGGACTGGTATCAGTGGCAAGAACTCTCATATGATGATGAGCCCGATGCTTACCTAGAAGCTGTCAGGAAGGCTATTTCAGAAGGTAAGGTCGTGATTGTGGAGGTGGGCTTTGTGGTCAGCAACTGGAGGCAGGATATTTGTGGTATTGTTCATCCTTGTTTTAACGCTTGTAACGTGTTTTTCTGAAACCAAAAACTAAAGTAAATTGGACAACCATTGTAAACTAGACAGTTCTGCAAGGTGCTCTTCCTGTGCATGGTCAGTTGGTTACTAATTCAGGAAAGATCCCCTGCGATTCACAGAGAATGTCTGAACTTGTGGATTGTGTTTTTAATTTTGAATGCAAATGGAAAATTACAGACTTAGCATCTTTAAATTTCTGCCTGTAAATATTGTACCTGGAGTTTATTGATCCCAATCAAGAGAAAATTACCTTTTTCTTCAGACCTTCTGTTACACCAGAGTCAAAACAATGTTACTTAATGTGAATTCTCTAGCAATCAGGTTGAAGTCAGAGGGCAAACCATTCTGGCAGAAGATGAGTTTGTTGTTACCCATTATGGAATGTCACAAAGTAGTTGGGTGATTTTTAAAGCTATCAGTGCAATTCAAATATCAGTGTTCTCCAAATGCTCTGAAAATGATCACCTCATAATACATAGAGAAGTATTGATAGCAGAGAAATGTTTACAGATGGAGACTAGGGATGGAGTTCTAATCAAACTTGAACTTTCCTAAACTCTGGAGTAGTTTTTGGTATTCCTTTCTCACAGTATCTGTAGAAATGAAAGTAGAGAGCTCCAGGGAGTCCAGTATTGGTTAGGATGTTTTTATGACACTGCCACAATGAGTGTTCCTGTCATCCTTAACAGGATTGGAATTCCATGACTGCATCTTGGATTAGGATTTATCTGTATTTAGTGGCAGGAATAAAAAAAATGATGTCTTCTGATACATCTGCTGCTGTGTGTCTCCTTGATCTTTCACCTTACAGAATTAGGTACCCTGGGACCAGTTGTATTGCTGGAGAGCTAATGCTGTACCCTTGAAGCTCCAAAGTGTGAGCAGATTCTAATTCCTGCAGCTTTAACTGCAGTGATCCTTCAAAATGTTGCTGCTGTCTCTTTGCCTTTCTGTATTTTCTTTGCCTGCTATTATATTTTCACCTCCAGCAGATCTCTTACTGTGGTCATCTGATCTCATTTTGGCACTTGGGAGGTTTCAGAAGCTGCAGATTGGATGGGAGATGTCTGTGCCATGATTATGATTTCTGCTTGATCTTCAGAGGCTGTTTGGATATTCTGAAAAGAGGCATTATGCTAGAATAACAAGAGGAATAGTTATGATGACCAACTTGTTGCAGTAAAAATAAATGTTGACAGTCATGGTCTTTGCCAGAACGAGTCCCCTGAAAAAACTTGGCTTAGAGGTTGTGTGAAGATGACATTCTCAGGCCGATAGGTCACAGCAGATGTTTCCTAGTACCAGTCTGTATCCCTCTTTCAAATAACCCTGAACTGTGCTGGTTTTCTGATAGATAACCTAGACCTAACGTAGGCAGGCTCCTTTCTTTGGCCTGAACGAAGACAGAAAACTGTGGCTGAATTTTTATACTCTTAATACATTTAGTGTCTGGTCTGTATGTTTTAATTTACTTTTCATATGCCTTTCACATTTAGGTAAATATAAGCAATATCTCTCTGGATTATATATGTTAGTTAACTTGTAATTACTACGGACTAGCTGTTAACAGAGAACTGTTGGAGTGAAAGTGTGAAGGGATACTGACTGAAATCTCTTCCCAGAGCCAGTTCTCACCAGCCTCTTCCATTCCTTTAGCTGGAAGACTTCTTCTCCAGAGGTGTGATCTCTGTTGAAAGTTAGTATGTGCTTTAGTTACATGTAAATTGTGTTTTTAAAGAGAGATTATGCTTTGGATTTCTGTAGTTGTTCCTATGTAACAAAAATAATGCAGGTTATTTTCTCTGTATGAAAAAAAGGAAGGAGCATACATAGACCTTATACTAGCTTTAGTATATCTGGAAAATATTTGACCATGAAAAAGATGAGATGATATTTGCTATGGAGTCTTCTGCAGCATTTTCCAAGTAGTTTGGTACATGAAAAGTCAGAATTTCTGGACTTGCTGGTACAGAAGCCCTACCTGAAGCAAGCTGTCTACTGCATACCAGTTGGGTGATGTCCAACAGTTTGATTATACACATTAGAGTGGTTACCAAGACAAACAGCCTCCTGTCACTGACTCCTATAAAGGAAAAATCTACTTCAGATGGGCTGGATTTGTGGCTGAAGCACTTGGATGAACATATCTCATTCTGCCACAGGGATGAGGTCTCACACCCCGTGATTCTACAAACAAAGCTTTTGTGAATAGCCTCAAATGCAAATATATCCTCTGGAGAGAAGACAACACCAGGTGTTGCCTTTTGGGGTGAAACTGCAAAAACTTTCTTCTTTGTACTAAAAATAAATCAGTGTCTTGCTTCTAGTTTGTCTGTAGCTAATGCAGAGATGAGAGGCTTGAAATAAGTGTGTAACAGCTCTCTCTCCCATAGAGAAACGCAACATGTGCTCTGCTTCCACTATTTCACTTTTAAGTTTTTAGACAAAGGCTTGGAAGTCAGGATGCCTCAGTTCAGTCCATTTTCTGCAGCAGACTGTGTATTTTTCCCTAGAAAAGTATCTCTCTACTCCTACAGCACTTAGCAAGGAAAGTTTATGACCGTGTTTGAAACAATTTATCTGGGTGTCTACCTCTGGAAATACTTATTTCCACAGGCTGAGTTCAGTTTCTTAGCAGCTCTATCCTGAATGAGAGGAGCACAGGACTCAGTGGGAACAAATACCTCTCTAGAATCCCTATATTGGCCCTTTTTAGGTTATTTTGTTGCCTGCAGTGCAGCTGTTATAGTGTGGTTTGTTTAGGGCATCATGGGAACATGACACCTGCAGACATCACACACTGAAAGCTATTTTAATTTTTATTAGTTTAGTAGAACGTCAGAAATGAGGAAGTGTTCGTCTGGCCTTGTTGAGAACAAACAGTGTTGACACTGATGTTTGCTGCTTGGTAGGAAGGGCAGTTTTTACTCTAATTTCTCAATTGAGGCAAACTACAGAGGCCAAGAAGGTTTCTGTTTGCAGGCGGTTCTGTTTGTGTTTCTCGGGCTGTGCACAAACTGTGCTGAGGACGTGAAAATGCTTTGGATGGCGCTGTACAAGTCAGCTTGGTTCTGATGGGATGTAATCCCAAACTGGGTGTGATGAACAGCCTACTACTTAAGGCTTAAGCCATCTTGTCCAGCTGGAAGCTTGCTGTTGGAGCCATTGATCTTCCTCTTCCTCCCATGGTGGCATAACACAACTTAGATCTGTTTTGTGTTGTTAAGATTTATCCAGTTCATTCCAGCCCCTACCTTCCCCCCTCCCCCCCCGCCCCCAAATGCCTGGCTTTACAAGTCTGTTTCCAAAATGTTTGCTAATTAGTCAGTGGCCTCGAACTTTTGTATGAGAGCAAACTCTTGCAGGTAAAATGCCAGGGAAGCCAACAGCTGCCTGAAATTGTTAACGTGATGACCAGACAAAACAGCAGTTAGAAGTCAGGCTGTTGACAGACAAATGCAGCCTTGACTGAACATAGTACTCATGCAATGAGGTGGATGAGAAAGAAATATCAGTGCTAGCAAACTTCTTGCAAAACAAAAGGATCAGAAGTGACTGTTAGGAACCGTGTGACATACCTGGAAGGAGATGCAAAAAAAAAAACAAACCAGTCTCAGGGTTGGAATTTCATCTGTGTCAGTCACAATCATGGGGTAGAGATGCCTGTGATATTTTCAACTTGTTGTTGTGTAACAGAAGCCTTTTTGGCTGTGATGGTTTTGTTCTTTTGTCATGACTGTGAAAAACCTAACTCACAGAAACTATTTGCCTGCCAAAGGACTTGTGGAAAGAAGAAACACTATAAATGGCTTAATTTATCTGTTGGGAGGGAAATGGTGTAACAGAAACCACACAAGCTATTATCATTCTCTCTCCTGTACATGACAAGGAATTGAATTAACTTCCTGGTTTTCTTCTTGCTCTGGCGAAAAAGCATGAATGAAAGTTGGGAACATATCGTGGAATATTGATGTTGGAAGGGACCTTTTGAGACTGTACAGGCCAACCTCTCTGTTCAAATATAGCCAGATAAATCATGTTGGCCAGGACCATGTGCAGTCAGGTTTTGAATATCTCTGCAGAAGAAGACTTTGAATCTTCTCTGGACAGTACTGGGAAGAGTCTTATTCTTCTTTCATTCCCTTTCATCAGGTGCACACTGATAAGATACCTCCTGACTCTTCTCTTCTAAAGGCTGGAGAGTACATCTCTGATAGCCTGTATCTATTTCACAGCAAGCACAATGAAATCCAGTGTTACCTGATTTGTTACACTCTTGCTTTAACTATCTGCAGGAATGACAAAGCGAATATCACAACGTCCGTAGCTTTTGAGGATAAATTTGTACACTTTCCTTTCTTCCCTACCTCTTCCCCCTTTAAAAATATTAATTCATGTTGAATGCTTTTAAAGGCAACTTTTCATTAGAAACCACAAAAGCCACTGCCAGTAACAGCTGCACACTAGCACAAGGACAGTGGTGATCCTGAGATGCCTCATACAGCAATTACTGAATAGTAGGTGCTCTCTGTTGTACTGTGGAGCTGATACCTCCTGACAGTAGCAGCTTTTAAGCTATGTCTGCTTCTGGCTGTCAGTACTTCTCTCAGAACCCCTCTGTCAGCCTCACACGGAGACTTGCAGGTAAGACAGTGGGCAAAGGGTGCTATAAACTGGGAATTGCAACCTCCCTTCCTCTCTACAGGTTCATTCTGCTCTGTATCGGGACAGACGCCTACAAGAAATGGCGTACTGAGATTTCCAGTGTTTACTGAGCTTGCTGTTGCATGTGGGGGCAGAGCTAAATCCAGCAGCTGTAACAGCTGCTCCCAGTGCTGCTTGACTTATTTCATAAGGCTTGGCCATGGAGCCTTGTTCCTAGGAAAGCTGGATGTGAAA